TCAAAATAATATTCTACCACGGCGGAATGTCGACTTATTCAAAAAGTTTTGTAAATCAGTAAGACATTTTGCAATTCTCAACAATCTGTCAGATGGTAAAACTCATCCAACTAACCTTACATACAGGGCCTGCCACAAATCCCAAAACCAACAGATCATCCAGTAGACATAAACTCTAATATAAACATAAAGCTCACCTCATTCTTAAAGCTTCAAAACAAGGAAAGTAAATAATATCATGCTTAAAAGAGTTTTATCATACAATTCGAACACATCTATCAAGGGAAACTCTTACTTTTGTGCGGTCATATATTGGAACAACAAATATTTCTATTTGCTCTGCACTCGCCAAGCAAGGTCAAATCCACAATGATCTATCCATACACTAAACCACTGAGACGTTGAGGGGATCAACAAGTGTAAAATGGTGAACTCTCTGGATAAACTCAGCCCCAGCCCAAAACTCATGTTAGCCTTCCCTCCCATAAACATTATATTAATCATCAATGAAAGATTTGTTGCGATCAAAGCCAGTATTTAATGATTTGAAGATATGCATGGGAAATGGGCACTCTATAAGAACTTATGAACCCCACCTCTTTTACTTACAAATATGGAAATAACAAACTTCATTCCTTCTAATTACACTGACAAATTGACAATCATGTGCACCTAGACAAGAAGCCTCGCTACAGTAAGTTTCTATCGCGTTCTTTGCATTCTGCTGATGTTTAATCTTTTTTTTTTCTTTCCATTTATTGAGATCTCAACCCACCAAGAAAAAGGATCAAGGGCATGGTTATCTGATCATACATCAAAAGTCAATGTACAATGACAAATCCAATGCAATGCAAAGTCATCCTTAACTTATTTTCTCAAGAGGCAATAATTAGGGGAGATCATATATCAGAGTAAATTGGCCATCTATTATTAGGATACAAAAATAACACTATCTAGTTCATGATCTGCTAAAAATTCTCAATGATACTCAGAAGAACTAGTATGCAATTAGAAGACTAACCAATTATCAGTGATTAGTTATCATACAACAGTTTCGACCAAAAAACAGTAATCATACAACAGTTCCGACCAAAAAATAGTAATCATACAACAGTATTCTTATAAGCACTAAATTTCCATATAAAGAACCACCTAAGATCACATGCTTTACACATAAAAGAGATGCTAGCCCTTTTGTTTGAACAAAAGGGAGATGCCTACCTGAATTGAACAGAATTATGTGATATTACCACTCAGTCAAGAACAAAGTAAAAAACCAGGAATTTTTCAGCAAAAGCGGGCTTCTGCAATGAAAAACACCTTTCTCCAAAGAAATATTCTTTTTCTTTGGATACCGTTTTCCAATTTCAGCATTTACTAGCCAAAAGGCTACATACTTTTTATAACTATGCATCATGGAACTATGTGCACATATTCAAATCCTGTTTTCTTGTACTCTTTAAATTTTAACAAATCCAAAACGAAAATGAACAAAACATACACAACCATCGATTTGGAGCTAAAATCAAGATCAATATGTAAATAAAAAAATATCAGAGAAAAATTAAGAACGGCTAAATATCACTTCGATTTCGTTAAAACCACCATCCAAGAACCATCCAATCCAGAGTTAAACAAAATTGAAACCCTACCAACATCAACCCTGCGAAAATTTACAGAGCATAACAAAAAGAAAACACCGTATTGTTCGATTACCCATTAAGCTTCGAATAGAGACCCGATCTGAACCAGGACCCGAAACTCAAGCTCCACCACCGGATCGGTGGAGATAGAGCTTGCCGAACACATGAAGAGCCGTAACGAAGCCGATGAAGCAGAGGCTCATGACGAGAACAACAGTCGGCGTGATCTTCAATCCAGGAGCGTCATCTGTGTAGAACCTGAGCATGTTGTTGCCAGCACCAGACCCGCCTCCGCCTCCGCCTCCGCCGATGCTGCCGGAGCTGGTAGAGCCTCCTATGCGACGGCGGCGCATTCCGGCCGTAGCGGCCGCAGAGCCGCGGGGAGCCATTACGCCGGGGCGTGAGGTGGAGGAGGACGCCGTCGTTTGGGACTGAGATGTGCCTCGAGCCATTGTCAACAACACGAAGTGAGCGTGAGCTTCAGAGAGAGAGAGAGAGAGAGAGAGAGAAGAGAACAAAAGGAGAAATGTAGAGATCGTAATTAATGTGAAAAACGTTGAATTTATTTAACAAGGCTTAATTATGGTTGGGTTTTTTTCTTTTCTTTTTTATTTAAGCTGAATTTTGGTTGGGTTAGTTAAACAGTGACGAAGATAATAATGGATCGGGAGAGTTCGGCAGCTCTGCTTTTAGTACAGTCGGCAATTATACTTGTTGCACATTGAGTCCATCCATTTGCCCTATAGAATTTCGCCACCTTTCATTTAGTATTGGACTCAAATGGGAATGGCCCAAATTGGTATTCAATCCATAGTTTCCTAGCAATGAATGAATGGGCTTGCATTATTAAATATCTTTCTTATAAAATTAGATGTGGACATGATTCAGATTGGATCGGTTTCACTTCAAAATTACGATCGAATTAATCATTATAAAACAGTTTATTTTGGTTTGGTTGTAACAGGAAACCAAACCAAATCAATTTAAGATAACTTGGTTTGAGCGATTTGGGCCTAAGCCCAATTCCTTTTTCTTTTGCATTTTTTCAACTTTGTTAGCTCAATTACAACAAAAAGAACTTATAACTTGTTACCTTTTCTTTTTTATTTTTCTAGCATATCGGACCATCCTAAAATTCAATAAGTCATAAAACTTCAAAGTTCAATAACTAATATAGTATATCAATCACTCAAAGTTACATCCATTCAACATTCATATCTAGTTATTATCTAATGAGAGAACTACACATGTAAAATAAAATATACAAGTATACGGTACTGTTCGATTTAGGCCAATTTACAAAAGCTCAAAATTGAACCAAAATAAATCATTACGGTTCGGTATGTTTTTAAACCGTTTGATTTTTTTTTAAATCAAAACCAAACCAAACAGACCATTACTGTTCGAATTGGCGAATTTATTTAGGTTCGGCCAGATTGATGACCACCACTATACAAAAACTTGTGTGAATTTGTAATTAGTTCCCTACCTCATAAGTATCTTGTAAATATCATATTGTTTGTATAAATAAAAAAATAATAATTGCAATTATATTTGTTAAGTTACCAAAACTGCTATTGTTGGCAATGATCTCACCCCAAGAAATAATTAATCTTATGAGTTAATGGAGTGTGTTTGGTTTGGAAAACCTCCTGATCTAATTAAGGACATGTGGCTCTCTTTAAACTTTCAATAAATTTCGTCTTTCTAAAACAAACAAAATTTGCTTTGGTTTTTTTCCACTAAAATAAGAATAACTCAACTGCTTCTAATAAAATTTGTATTTGTATTTTTTTTAGAACCTTTTTTATTGAGAGGGGGGCCGATGGTGTACTAAACTCACACACACTATACAGATGCTAGAACTTGAACCTAGAACTTTACCTGAGGAAGTAAATACTCCAAATCATTATACTAACAGTCCTTTGCAAAAAAATTTGTATTTCTAAGAAACAAAACCATGTCAATACTTAAAACAAAATATTTTATCACGTACACCGTAGGACCATGTCAGTACTTAATAGTTACATAATTACATTATTAGAAAAAGAAGCTGACGTTGAAAATTTTACAAGCAGCAGCAAAAACATATGCTTCTCAGATTCACTGCTATCCTTGCCAAAGTGACCCTAAGCTTTATGCAGGCTGCCGCTGGGACGAAGAGGCGGGCCATGGATGGCACGAAGCCGCCTCCTGGTGCGCTCCATAGGGTCCTTCTGCTCCTCAGCACCGACATAGTTAGCCAGAGTTACCCCCAAAAGTATTACCCCCAAGCACAAAACTGCATAGCACTGCCTACCCAACTTGCCCAACAAGCCCTCTGCTATCTCCATAGCTCTCCCAATCGAAGTTTCTCTCTTTTTTCTTCTTTCTGGAAATTGATATGAATTTCTTGTAAAGTTGTATGTGATAATATTTATAAGCAGGCCAAAGGGTCAAAAGGGTACTTGGAGTTTGGATCAGAGGCAGCGAAGAAACAAGGGGAAGAGGAGGCGGCCGCTGAAAGCAGAGGAAAACCAGGGGTTGTTTCGTTTGTATAAGCGTTTGATTAGGCAGTGGCTGTCGTTTTGCAGCAGACTTTTATTTCGAAAATGAAAGCTTTCTTCTTCTTTTTTAATGTCTTTTGTGGGGTTTTGGGGCGCGAACACACCGAGATTTCGATGCTAAGGGTTAGCCATCTGTGCTAGCTTCCAAATTTTAGTGATCTTTGGTGGGATGCAGCGCTAGCATTGGCTGGTGCAATTTAGAGTTGATCACCAAGCCATTTAAACCGCCCCCACCTTGAGGTAACTTCGTAGTAATTTGTTAGAATTCACATCTTTTAGTTTGTTTCTTTATCCCCACAACGGCGTCAAAAAACTTAATTTTAGAGTTTATTGGCATGCGATGTTATAAAACTTTATAGATTCATACTCAAACTCATAATAAAAAGTTACATGTAAGGCCGTTCATTAATGAAATCGTTAATAAATATATGTTAAATGCCTTTGTGGTAAAGTGAATTCTATTTCTTATTTTTTTTAATTGATGTAGTCACGACGCACATAAAAAAACAATAATAATAAAAGTTATTTGCTCTTAAAATGATTAAAAATCAAATTTGTAAGAAATTATGATAACACTAAAGTATTTACTTTCCTTTCTCTTTTTTTCTTCCCTCTTCTATATCGTTCCTCAAATTAAGATCAAATTAAGAGTGTTGATACGAGGAAAGAAAAAAACAATCACTGTTGTATATGTGTATATGTATATATAGATGTTTCCGTTTTGAACCAAATTAAAGAAGAAAAGAAGTAAAGAAAAAAAACAACATTATACAAGACAAAATGCAAAATCTAAGGCTTGAAGAAGGCTTGAAGTATCACCATTCGCTTCAATTAAATCGCCATTGTACAAGCAATTACCATTGTCATCGTCATTGTCCCAATCCTCATCGATCTCTAATGGCAATGCGACAAAATTCTCGACGCTTGCATGCACATATTAATGTGTTATATACTTTGCCTCTTGTCAAACGAGAAGTCTTTGGTCCGTCCCATATTAATTTCGTGTTGGGTTCGATCCGGTTGATTGGTTGTTGTTGTGGTAGGAGCTGCATGAACCGAGTTTGGTTCGTTGACATCAACATCCCTCTCATGCTCTACATTTCCCAATTCGATTTGGTGATGGTGGGAGGATGAAGTACCATCCACATGGAGGTGGTGTGATTGGGAGTGTGACTCCGTGTCCCAACGTTCACCCTCGAAGTTCGATCTTCGTGGTGAGTTGTAGAAGCTGTCCACCTCACTCCGATAATTCCGGAGAAGGTGGATAGGGGACATGTGGTGGGATGGGGTGGCTGGCCTACTAGACATTGGGGTCACGGACCCTTTGTTATGCCTTATGTGCTTCCTTGCCGTGTGATGCCAGTTGCGTAGGGCAGCGGCTACTCTTTCATTGAATATGGTTGGCTTCATGGTTGAACCCATCTGCCCAAATCACAAATATATAAAGTCATCACAATTTATTTCAACATACTTAGGACTTCAAATATTTTAGGATCAATCAAATATATTTGGTAATTATTTTCTTCGTATTGTTTGGTCTCAATCATTGGTAACGTATAGTGAAAGCATGTTTAAATGTGTGATTCATATTCAATCCAACAATACATCATGCTTTATTATTCGGATTTGACTATCAGTAGTGGCAAAGATAAAAGTACTCAAGTTAGATCCTCAACTTAAATCTCGTTTAAAATGCTATCATATAAGTTAATGATCATTCGATCTAGTAATATTTAGTCTTCATTTTAATTAAATCGTTACCTGTGTGACAAGGGCATAGAGAGGGAGAGTGACATAACTGCACAGAATCTGTATGAGGATCCTGAAATGTCCACCATTCGGTGAGTGTTAGAACTTACAACACTTCACACAATTAGGAAAGTTTAAATTAAAGGGCATTAAGAAAGTGAGACTCACCCCATTGAAACTCTGATGATTATGTCCTCAGTGTGCTCGTGGAAGCAAGATTTCAAACTAAATTCATACTGAAAACACAAAAAAGTAGCAGTGTTTTAATTTTCTTATACACTTCTCTAATCTCAAATTAATTGACCGATTAAGGGCTAAAAACATGTAGCTTACCCAACTCCATGCAAAGAAAGCAAGCTGGAAGGCATTCTGCAAGTGATAAAAATTGAAAGATGATACAAAAATAATGGTCAGTATATATGAGATTTGACTAATTGTAAACCCTAAAAATTAATTAAGTTCATATGAATTAATTTAGGAACGTACCTGAAAGAGAACAAAGTTGATGAGATAGAGAATGAGGCGAGGCCGGTTGAACCAGAAGAGGTCATCACCAGGTTGAACCACTGGAACCCCCTTCACAACCTCTCCTCTTTCTTGGATTCTAAGACCCATTTTGGTTATGATCACCTGTAGCTTGGTCCCCACCAAGAGAATGATCTGCAAGTCCAAGTGCATTGTCCACCGTTAGATCCATCTTGTGGTTCCACCATGTTTTATAATTTATTTGAACAGAGTATGTGAGGGAAGAGAAATTTGCTTACAATCAATGGGATAAAGGGTAGCCAAAAATAAGAGTACCAGCCTGTCCAAAAGAAATTCAAGAATAAATTATCAAATAATTAATTTAAGAAAAAGTTCAATTTCTTCTTTCTTCTTCTTTTTTTTTTTTTTTTGAGAATATGTTTTATTAAAACATCATAAGAGTATACAGCGAAGAGGATGAAAACATTTGAAATCCAACGTAAAAGTCAGGAACAAGAGCGTAATCTTAAAAAGATTCACAGCCTGAACCAATCACGACAAAGCACAGAAAAAGAAAAAAGAAGACTACTGCCCAAACCGAAACAATACATGAGGGACTAAAAAGGACCTCCAGTATGAAGAAAAAGATTATTATTTATACTTACCATGAGTATTGAAGAGTAGAAATATCACAGCAAATAACCAAATTGGAGGGCTGCAATTTGAGACCAAAAAAAAAAGATGAATTAATTCAAAATTTATAAGGAAAGAAAGAAGAAGAAAAGGAGAAGAAAACACCAAATCACTCACCTGATTCCCACAACCACCTTGAAATCCTCTTCAAGGGATCTGTTTATGTATTTTTGGAAATTGAATTTCTGATGGCTTTGGGGTGCCAAATGTGCCTGAAATATTGTTTTGCAATGTTACTTGTTACAATAATTATTTTTAAAGATAATGTATTATTACTCAGAAAATAATAATAATAAAAGCATTTTCTTTTTGATTAAAAATACCTACCATGATAAACCCATGCCGCAGGGTTAAGTAATCAACTTTAGGAACCGACCTAACAAATTGTCTGAAAAAGCTAACCTGCAATAATACATAAAAATAATATAAAATAAATGGATAATGTGAAAGGCAAAAGAAATTATGAAATAAAATAAAATAAATACCCAAAGTCAACACTTCAATAAATTAAGGACAAACCCAACAATAATTATTTATATAAATAAATAAATAAATAAACAAGATAAACTTCAAAACAATGTAGCATAGGAAGTCTTGGACTTCCGCCGTTATTGGTTATTTTGTGACACACAAAGATCTCTGGTTCACAAAGTTGGTAGAATATGAAGTTGATTGTTTTGTTCATGGAAAAATATAAAATCAAATTAGGTGTTCTGTAGAAAAGTCAAACTACTAGAAAGGGAGGAAATTGCCTTGGGCATCACCACCACCCAGTCATTGGCAAACTTAGACCGCCACCGCCAGTTTGTATTGCCAAGGCTTTCTTGTAGAACGATCTATTATATTTTGACAATTTCTTTCATATGATCAATTATAATTTGAAAACATAATATGTCGATTGTTTTATAAAGTGGTGATTTCGACACTCTCAATTTAGCTTCTAATGCTTTCGCCGTAAAAGCATATAAACTATCAAACACGGGAAAAAATTATATTTATATTTTTCATTTTAAGGTCATCGGCAGAAAAACGTAATGCCCAAGGGTCTAAGGTCTTCTACCTCTTGACTGCTCTGCTCTATATAAGAGTCAAAAAAGGGTTTCATGATGGAGGTTTTGATTCTTGGAAAGCTGATTTGAGGTCAATTTTCTTTTTTCCTCCAAATTTCTAGAAGGATCCTCAGCCCTACATTGAATTCAAATGACAAGGCCATCGAACTGAGAACTTGGAGAAAATGTGATGATTCGATGTATCATCTTCTCCACATTCTTGGCACCCTTTTCCATGGCGCCCCACAAAAAGCACCAAAAAGCGATTTCACACCATTCTTATATATAAAAGCACTTAATTAAATAGAGATGGCTGTGATCGAATCCTGGTGTTGTCTTTTCTGCTTATCTCTTGCAAGATATTTTCTGTATAATAAGGAGGGAGGGCGCATTGTTTCCACACTAAAACACAAGACCTATCATTTTCGTAATTGTCACGGATGCTACATATTTTTTTGTTTTCTTCTGGCCCCCTAATAATTTATAACTTTTTTTTTTTTTTTATGCTCCCATAACACATTCTTTTTCTCTATCTTTCTTATCACGTCACGTTTGATATATGAGAGATAGAGAAAGAAAACAAAAATGTGTTTCATCTATGTTTTTCTCTTCAAGTCTGTAAGAATTTTAGAAATTTACACAATGTCTTACTTGTTATGTTAAAAATGAATAATACTAAAGACATCAACTTATTACACTAAATCCCGAACACCCCGACTATATGACGGTGTTTTATGTACTAATCCAATGGCCATTACTCTCACTGGCAACTTTTAATTTCCTTTTTAAACGACATCTAAGTTAGAACGTAGCGCAATTATGCTAGGCTAACAACAATCATTTGATTTGTTAAAAGTATGTAGCTCTAAGCCTCTAAAGTCTAAAAAGTATGATATGATTAAAGTACCGTATCATACAAGCTAAGGGTGATCGTACATTTTTTGTTTTATTCTTTCTAAATAAATCTTCATTTATGTTACAATAAGTTATGCGTGAGTATTTTTATATCCATGTCGGTGTGAAAAATGATTATTTCCTTGACTAATCTAACACTGATTAAATGAGAAGACTAAACATAAAATTATGTGCATAAAAATATATTAATTCGAAGTCAAGCGCAAACCGATTAAACTGCACATTTTAAGGTTTAAAGTTTCCTAAGTACATACAAATTTGTTCATAATGTGTTTTACTAAATAATTTGACATGTTATGTCGTTTTGTTTTATTCTGAATCACGCTCATAAAATAAAAATCCAAAAGATAAAAAGAGGAGGAGGAGAGAGAGTTCTTACTATCCACATGAGGAAAGGTGTTTGGGTCCAGTAGCTTAAATGCCTCCTCCCAAAAGATGTGTCCCTTGCAAACCTGAACCTCTCTGGGTCTGCCATACACGCAACACTACAGTCAATTTGCAAGACTCATTGACTCTGTATGTTGTTTAAAAATTAATTTCACTTTCTAATTGTAATTTAAAATCACAATTAGACAACTACATGACTTAAATAATCCAATTTTTTATGTTAATTATTTTTCTTGTCCAAATATTTTATTAATTTGCAACACTAACCATGCGAGAATTGATATTCAGCCGTCCTTGTTTCCTTTTCCCACCGCTTCCAGCTTCTCATCTGCACTCACCAAATAGTAATTATCGTTAATTAATGATTAATTAATTAATTAAAGAGATTAATTAACTTGTAAGTAAGTAATTTATGGGAAAATACCTTAGCTCTTCCTAAAGCCATGGTGAGGATGCAATAAAGGACATGGAAAATAGCCAATACGAAGATAAAAATATGCAGTTGATGAATACCATCCGCGGATATAAATGGAACTTTCCCCTGCAAAATTTCCAACTCACATTGCATGAGCCTTCCTAAATTATAAACAAAATCTTAGAAAAACATAAATATATTTGCATGTGTGAATATATGAATAATTTTCGCTACGCGTCACTGATTGACTGGTACCGAATACCAATTCTCATTACTTAGAACTTTCCGAAAATACCTTTTAAATGCAAGATGATTTTTTTTTTTTTTTGGAAAGTGTAAATGACCACTTCATAACTTATCTAGGAAAAATCATTTTTCTTGATCGTACGACGAATGCACCATGTATCTCGGCTGATATTTTAGGTCGAGGAATTACAAGAAGAAATGAAAAGTAGAAAGAAAAAAAAACACTTAGATTGTAGATTAAAAATAAGTGGTGGACATTTCATTCGTACCTTTGGTGCACATTTGTCGGTGCCAGCAGCCGCCAAAACGCGGCGTGCGCCAACATCAGACTGATTGAACAGTGAGAGTAATCTCCTACTTGGGGTTTCATCATCATGTTCTTCCTCGTTCTTTTTGGTTTCTTGCTTCTTGCCACATGGATGCCAAGTACTGCCAAGTTTCTTTGATATGCAAATGTTTGATATGGGGCCTTGTCCTACTGTTAGGAGCAAGGATATGAACCCCAAAAGCATAAGCTCTATAAAAAACACAAATTAAACATGTATTAGCTTAATAATCTCAATTAAGCTTTGGTTAATCAGTGTAATTAAGATATGGGATGAACTCGTACCTGATTTGACCTTTTCTAGAGCTTCATAGAGAGCTCTTTTGTGTTTATTCTTCAACCACTGAAGAAAAAAAAATTGGTGCAAGAATTAGAAAAAAGAAAACCCAGAAGAAGGTCGGAAAAACCCGATTGAACGACTTCATTAGATAACCTTCGAAAATATATACAAGTAAGACATAGTTTACCTTTGCTACGAGTTCGATTAAGTGCTCAATGATGATTGAAATTAAGACCAAAACAAAACAGACTACGGCAACAGCCCATGTCGGCGTTTGCTCTAATGATCTTCCTGAGGTTGAGGCTGCCATGTTTGCTTCTCAATTTAGCCCAGTTGAGAAGAAAACATGAAAGAAAGGAACCCAAGTGACCAAATGGATATGAGAGAGAGAGAGAGAGAGAGAGAGAGAGAGAGAGAGAGAGAATGATGTGGAGGATATGAAATGTACAGAGAAGGTACGAAGAGGTTGCGGGTGTTAAAAGGAGTTGAAATGAACTCATGGAAAGAAAAATAGAAGTGACCCCAGGGGATCATTTTGACTTTGAACGCGTTTGGGAGTTAGAAAGAGACAGAGAGAGGCTGAAGACTGAATGAGTCCTTGACTCGATTTAAAAGATCAAACACAGTTTTCTTTGACTGAATAATAATGTTACCCCTTGATTTAAAACATTGTCCCTAATATTTATTTAATTAATTTGATCACCACCGTTAATTACTTCCCAAGAGTCAACCCTCCCTTCGCATAAAATTTCTTTAAGCAGATGAATTCTCAAGCTGCTCATCTCAAATCCTACAGTTGATAATTGATGCCACGGAAAAATACAAATTTAGTTTCCTGAGGAATTACGATAATTTATCTATATATATAAAGCAAAAGGCAGAGAATGGTGAAACATTCAAAATACCAGAAAATGCCATTGGTTAATGCAAACATTAAGAATTAAAATTATTAATTAAATGAGGATAAAATGGTAAATTCACACTTTTTCATATTTATAAAAATAAAAATAAAAATAAAAATCAGATAATGGATCCTAATTTTATGGAACACAACTACCCATTATATTTTTTAATTCTAAAATAAATTTAAATTTTTTTTAAAAAAACCTCTTGCAGGCGCGGAAGTGCGTGCAGAGAGGCTAGTATATATAAAGCAAAAGGCAGAGAATGGTAAAACATTCAAAATACCAGAAAATGCCCTTAGTTAATACAAACATTAAGAATTGAAATTATTAATTAAATGAGGATAATATGGTAAACTCACACTTTTTCATATTAAAAAAAATTAAAACTAAAAAAAATCAGATAATGGATTCTATTTTTATGGAACACAACTACCATTATCTTTTTTAATTCTAAAATAAATTTAAATTTATTTAAAAGAAAGCCTCTCTAATATTTTATAATTCACAAAAACAAAACAAACAAAAACAAACAAACAAAATGTATGGTTGGAATATGTTACGAAGAAAATTCCAAATATTAACCAATCTTAGGGGGACAAATTGACTGACTTGAGGGTGACAAGGGTTAACAAACCATAGAACAAGTGCCAAGTCAATGATTATATACATAATTTTCACATTATTGTAATACATTATTGACTTGGTCTGTACATATTGAATAATTTTTGCATACACCTGTAAGTATACGTATGGTAGAAAGGAAGAGATTTGGAATTCAAGTAGTTAAAGAAATAGTCACTTTCTCAACTTATGTCCTGTGTTCAAACACTCCATTTTAAGTGGAGTTTGAAATTTAAGTGGTTAAGAACAGTTACTTCCTCATTTGAGGTCTTGTATTCAAATTCCCCACCTCAAATCGGGTTCAGAATTTAAGTAGTTAAGAGTAATTATTTTTCATCTAAGTTCTTGTGTTCAAATTGACACCTCAAATATCACTTGTATATATAAAAATAAAATAAAAAATTGAATAAAATACTGAACAATAGTGGGAAACGGAGCTCAACGGTTTTCTCATTATGCCTGCCATCTTAGATAACCTTAATTCCTTTTTTTAATTCCTTTTTTAATCTAGGGCATCGAGAAGCTTAGCCTTTCCCTTATGAAGGAAATTGGAGCATTTTTCTTCATGTGCATGGAGAAATTGAGCTTTGGGTACACCTCTTTGTACGTGCCATACATCTGTCATTTTTGTAAGTTAATTCTAGTGTGTATTTTGTGCAGATATTATGTGTGTGACTAATACCAATAAATATTCAAATAATAATGAGGTGGGCGGATTTTCAAATAATATTGTTGCATGTTTTAAAGATGTTGACAAAATAAACGTTTGAAAACGAAAAACAGAGACGAGGTGTTGCTGAAATATATACATTGCCTTGACAAATTAACACACCAAAAGGAGAAATTTTCCTTTGGATTAATTATTATAGTTTCTTCTTCGTGTTGACAGTTTAAAAGGCGAACCAGCTTAACTTTGACGGATAAATTACTCCATTTCAAGGCAATGGAGATTAGAATATACATGTCAAGCCCTTGGAGTTGGACTAAGTTGAGAGGAAGGGTGTGGGAAACTTATACTGGTGAAGGTAAAAATTGGTAAAGGGTTTGATCCCTTCCAATAAATTTTAAAAAGGTGAAATTTTCATTTTCAAACTCACGTGCACAAATTTAAAATGTTCAAAGACGATACCTCTTTGCTGTGTTTTTAGTCCGGATGTATTAATTTGTAGTATAAGAGTAACTAAACCAGTTGATCTAATTTATTTTTTTATTAATACAGAAAAAGGACATTCGAATTAGGTCATCTTCTAACAATAGAGAAGAGAAGTACTACTATAATACACAGCAAAGATATTTTAGATGGAAAACGTTGAAGGCTTTACAAAAGACTTAGGGCCAGTTTGGCATTGCTGTGCTGTGAAAATAATCACTGTTAGATTTGTTGTGAGAGAAAGCAATTTGGCGTTTGGTAAACTTTTTTTTAAAAGTGTTGTTGGTACTGATTCCCGAATAATTAGAATAAAAATTGCAGCATAATCATTAAACCTAGCACCTATTCGAAACTGATTCCTGCATAATCAGAAAATAAAAGCACCTCATTAGTTGCTTTCCCTTATAGCTTTCTCTCACAACAATTTTTAACAATAAGTGATTTTCTCATAGTTTACCAAACGAGCTAGGCTTTCCAAAATTTTTAACAAATCACTTATCACCCCAAATAAGCAATGCCAAACGGGCACTTAGCTGGATGGGCAATTCTATTGACACATTGGATTAATACACCCTAATTTGAAATTGATAAAAGTCCCCTTGATCTCATCTTCCTCATAAATTTTGGTTTTCTTTTTGCCACCATATTGACTAAACATATATAACTAATTAAACTTAGAGAAATAAAAACAAAACCAACATACCTTTGGGATGTCCACGTGGACTGGCTTAGCCAGCCAATGATACCAATGGAGTACTATCAACATCCTTCTCTTGTTGTTCTTATCTATTTCAGCTTCGAAAATTCAACCTAGATTAGAAAGATAAATTAATTAATTTTTTTAATAATTAAATAATAATAAAACCCAACGGTTGGCCCAACCAATTGTGACCTTCCAGGAGATCCCATCACCATTTTGAAGTCCCTCTTTCAAGACACCTAAGGGAACTTTACAAATTGAGAATTGGCCAACAAACCCATCCTGAATCCCACGGTGGCAATTTTCTCAATTATTTTGTAGTTATTGTATTTTCATAGCAGCCATTTCTGACTAACCAAACCAATTAATCTGTAAAATTTCTGTTTAGAATGGTTAAGGAAATTAATATATACAAATATTCAATAAAAATCTATATAAAGAGAAGGAGAAAAATGATGGCTCTTGATCCCGTGATTTTTATTTATTTATTTATTTATAAAAAAACCTCGACGATCGAGAGAGTTTCAAGTGAGTTTATATCTTAAATGGCTGAAACCATTAATTCCCATACTTTAGTTCTTTTTTTTATATATATTTTATACGGAATTTTTGTTTTATTTACTCAAAAACAATAGTATTTTATTGATAAAAAATAATGAACAAGTACAAAAACCAAATTATGTTCAAGAGGATTAGGCGAGTTCTCTACACCAAATGGACATATGGTCGTCGGCAGTGGCGGAGCCACTCCTAGGTCTGGAGTGGCCCTGGCCCCTCCAATTTTTTTTATCTCTCCTCTATTATATTATATATAAGATATAAAATTTGTAATAAACCACTTATAATTTAAGTTAAAGTTCCCTCTAAAACAAATTAGACATGATTAAATTAGAAATATTTAGTTCTAAACATGTAATTATTGAATACTTAGGAATTTTGTATACTTGTATTTTCTACTTCGGCCCCCCTAACTTTACAATTCTAGCTCTACCCCTGGTCGTCGGACTATAAAGTAACATATCCTCTCAACTGCAAGCGGGAGAAGGAACCTTGCTTCCGATAGAGCCCCCTCCCTGACATACCCGTAAAAACTACATGTTACAATCCTCATATAAAACATCAGAAATAAAATATGAAGGATCTTCAAACCAAAACAAGGAAGTCCCAATGTAAAAAAGCATGCTATGCGGTGGGCAACAACATTAGCGGTTCACACGGATATGGGTAAATCCATCCCTAATGATCTGCATCATCAAACTCTTTTATTCTAATTTAATCTAAGGAGCCAATTAAGATGCTGAACTTGGCCAACCAGAACTCTAAAGCTCTCGCATCAATTAATATCGATCAAATTATTCTTGACAAGTTGGTTTTGGTCTACGAACTCATTATGAGTATGGCTTCAAAAGACCTGAAGTAGTCTTTTGTCCAGGTTCATGCTTAGCATTATTCCATACGTCTGTAATTATAATTTTACAACAACTGCCGTGCAAATGACCGTGGAAAATGCAATGATTTAGTCTTTAGAATTTTAGGCCGTTGACCTTGTGATGCAGGCCCTTTTCCCTCCTAACTGACGTAATTGCTTGGTGTTGTTCATAGCTAGTAGCCTCAAGTGAGGAATAATGTTAATTTGTACTACATTTATCGATTATATGCAGGCTCCATTAATGTATAAGGGACTTACCTGCATTAGAGAGGTAGTCAGCAAAATGATAAGTAAATATGGTATAAATAATTTTATTTGAGAGACACCTTTTAGGGTCCTTTATGATTTTTTTTTCAATGATCCAAACCATCTATTTGTTAAATCTATATTCTTATATCATCCTTGCAAAAAATTAGACAAATCGGAAACCGTTTCGATATCCAATCGTGTCTTACAAAATCAATGAACACGGTGCTTCAAAAAAGTACTAAAATTTCAATAACTCAATTGAGTAGTCAAATGATATCGGATTCCAGTGATTTTTTGTAGAGATGATCTTTGAATGATTTTCTTAAAAATAGACAGTTTGGATTAGTGAAATACAATGCAGAGTGGGCCCTACAATGGTGTTCCAAATTTGCTTTAAGTCATGTCTCATGGTCGG